AGACTAATGAAAAGATGCTCAGCATCACGAATCATCAGGAAAATGCAAAATCAAAACCACAGTCAGATGTCACCACCCACTACTCAGAATGGCTAGTATTGCAAAAATAAGAAATAACAAGTGTAGGTAAGGATGTGGAGAAAAGGAAACCCTTGTGGACTGTTGGCAGGAATGTAAATTGCTGCAGCCACTATAGAAAACAGTATGGAGGTTACTTAAAAAATTAAAAACAGAAATCCATCTATTTTACTTCTGGGTATTTACCTGAAGAAAACAAAAACACTAATTCAAAGAGATATATGCACCCATATATTCATCACAGCATTATTTACAACAGCCAATATACAGAGGCAACCTAAGTATCCATGGGTAGATAAATGCATAAAGATGATGTGATATGTATATACGTATGCAATGGAATACTAACCAAAAGAGAATGAAGTTTTTCCATTTATAACAATATGGATGGTTCTAGAGGGTATTATGCTAAATGAAATAAGTCAGAAACAAAAAGAAAAATATCATTTAATTGCACTTACATGTAAAATCTAGAAAACAAAGCAAATGAACAAACAAAACAGTAACATAAATACAGAGAATAAACTGGTGGTTGCCAGAGGGGAGCATGGGCAAATTAGGTGAAGGAGATATTAAGAAGTACAAACTTCCAGTTATAAAATAAATAAGACATGGGGATGGAATGTACAGCATAGGAAATACAGTCAATAATACTGTAACAACTTTGTATGGTGACATATGGTAACTATTGATTATGGTGAGCATTTTGTAATGTATATAAATGTCGAATCACTATGTTGTATACCTGAAACTTATGTAATATTGTGTGTCAAGCAATTTAAATTTAAAAAATTTTTAATATTTAATAAATAAATAAGAATTAGCCCAATTCTTCACAAACTCTTCCCATCTCATTCTATGAGCCAGTATTACCCTGATACCAAAACCAAGGACATTAAAAGGAAAAAGAAAAAAAAACTTTATAGCAATATCCCTTATGAATACAGACACAAAAAATCCTCAACAAAACACTCCCAGGCCAAATCTAGGAACATATAATAAAGATTATACACACACCTGCGAATTAAATCCAGCAAGATAACAGAGAATCAGTTTAAAAAGCTCTGGATCTTCCCTTAGCATTGATTCTTCAAAACCATGGAAATCAGGTTTATATCCCTACCATTATTAAAATGTGTTAGAAAAAGTTACTAATAACCTTCTAATTGCAGTACCTGTTAGTTTTGCACATCTTTATAAAGTTATTCTCTTCCTGAAACTCTTCCCTTCATTTTGAAACCACTCTAATTTAGATTTTCTCACCCACTAGTCACAAAAAAATTAACAGAAGTCTGACTTTCAGTCCTGATCTTACAAGTAATTCATTATGATAATGTTAGCTATTAATTCCTAAACTTGATTATACTGTATTAGAAGCACACCAAGCAATTTATAAATGCTATTTCATTTAATCCTCTAAACAACTCTAGAGTAGTTTTCCATCTGTAAAATGGAAATAAATAGCTAAAAAGCAAAGAAGTGAGATGCCAAAGGCACAATTTGAATATACATTTAACTTGAAACACTGGCTATTAACACTGTCTCATTGAAGCATGAAGCAAATCATTTATCTCTCTGATGTTTGGTTTCTTCATCTGTAGGAAGTTACATATATCACCTCTGAAGTCCCATATACCTCATATTATAATGTAATTAAAAGGAATTATTAAAAACTTTCCTCACATTAGAGAAGGAACATTAAGACATGGAAAAAGGTCCAATGCTCAATGCTCACAAAGAGTAATAAAATACCACTTTAGATAGCACTGTTTTTCTGTTGTGATAGTTTAGCTAGAATTTAGAAAGGGCAACAGTTCATATACCTATTAAAACATCTCCTAGCAGCCTCTGAAAAAGTACAGTGTTCTGCCCAGACAAAACTAGCAATTACATGTAAAGCTATTTATAGTATAAACTGAATTAAAGTTCAAAATACACAAAGATCCTAAAAGCCTGTCCACATGATATAAATGTTAGCTTGATCTAATTATGTTGATAAAATCCATACCGTTCATTATGCTCTTGATAAACGAGTCTGGACTTCTCCAGTAGATATTTTTCAACATAGGCACTAGAAGAAAAATAAAATTGGCTGATTATAAATACTAAAGCTTAAGGCACATAATTACTTTTTCCAAGAAGATGCACAAGTATAAAGAATACAATGTAGACCATTTTAGTATATTTATCATTATAACAGAGTTATGGTCACTGCTAGTATTATCCACCTTAAAGTCATGAACTTGTCTTTTTTTTTTATTTCAGTAAAGCAAAATAAGTATGAAGTCCAAAAACATGGCACATAAGACACTCCCATGACAAAGACTTTACTTTCTTTCTATGCTCATATGTCACTATACATTCTTCCAGAGATGCTTTGGTAAGCCTACTAGATAAGGCTCAAAGATATACATTCTTTTTTTTTAATTAAACTACCATTGATATATAATCTTATGAAGGTTTCACATGAACATTGTGGTTTCAACATTCACCCATATTAACAAGTCCTCACCCGTACTCCTGCAGTCCCTGTCTATCAGCGTAGTTAAGATGCTATAGAGTCATTACTTGTCTTTTCCATGCTGTACTGCCTTCCCTGTGACCTACCTGTACTGTGATTACAAATTACAGTGCCCTTTAATGCCCTTCTCCCTCCATACCCACCTCTTCAACCCCTCCCCTTTGGTAACCACAGTCCCTTTTTGGAGTCTGTGAGTCTGCTGCTGTTTTGTTCCTTCAGTTTTGCTTTATTGTTATACTCTACAAATGACTGAAATCATTTGGTACTTGTCTTTCTCCACCTGGCTTATTTCACTAAGCATAATACCCTCTAGCTCCATCCATGTTGTTGCAAATGGTAGGATTTGTTTTCTTCTTATGGCTGAATAATTTTCCATTGTGTATATGTACCACATCTTCTTTATCCATTCATCTATTGATGGATACTTAGCTGAATTCCATATCTTGGCTACTGTAAACATTGCTGCAATTAACATAGGGGTGCATATGTCTTTTCGCATCAGGGATCTTGTTTTCTTTGGGTAAATTCCTAGGAGTGGAATTCTGGGTCAAATGGTATTTCTATTTTTAGTTTTTTGAGGAACCTCCATACTGCTTCCCACAATGGTTGAACCAATTTACATTCCTACCAACAGTGTAGGAGGGTTTCCCTTTCTCTGCATCTTCACATTCGTTGTTTCTTGTGTTTTGGATATTGGCCATCCTAACTGGTGTAAGGTGATTATCACTGTGGTTTTAATTTGCATTTCCCTGATAATTAGCGATGTGGAGCATCTTTTCATGTGCCTGTTAGCCATCTGAATTTCTTCTTTGAAGAAGTATGTGTTCAAATCTTCCACCCATTTTTTAATTGGGTTATTTGTTTTTTGGGAAAGATACACATTTTTTATATAATTTGTAACAGCCACATTCTGGAATCAACTTATTATTTATTGACTTAATAAGTATTCATTAATTGGGCACTGTGTTAGAATAAGCACTGTTCAAATATAGAATAAGAGATGCACTACCTGTTCTCAAAGCCTTGCAAACTAGGGGAAGAAACATACAGGTCAACTGACAGCTATCATACTAAGATGAGAGTGTGTACTATAGAACAATGACCAGGATATTATGGAGTTATCATGAGACATGTAAGATTCAATTCAAGAAGGCAGAATTCCCACAGATGGTGAGTACATAACATATAGTAACATTCATTAAATATATCTGGTGAGTAAATGACTCAAAAACTGAAAAGCTGTCCAGAAGACAAGGAACTGTCATTATGGAAAAGCATAAATGAAGGAGCGTATGTATCAACTTCAGAGAAGACAACATAGATAGGCAATGAGATAGGCAAGTGAACTAGATATAGAAGGATCAATACACTGTGGGCCAGATAAATGGAATTTATCCTGAAAGCAATGAGGAACTGAAACATGAAGTCTACTTCTGATATGTCATTCTCTTTGCATAGCCTGTACCCCTTTAAGTCTTCAATATCTCTTTTCCAAATTGGAGCAATCAGTTAAGCTCTCACTGGAAAATGGGGGTGTAGAGACTAAAATTAATAGCTATAGATTACTGAATCCAAATTACTTAGCACAAACTTCTTTGGGATCAAACCTGACTCTTGACCTTTTATTTCCCTCAGTTCCTCCCCATTGCATGCTCTGTGTTTCAGTCACTCCAAATACAGGCTTTCCCTCAAGCACGGCCTTTACTCCTGATGGCTCTTCATGCTCTTCCTTCTAATTCTGCAGTCTCTTCCCACTTCCTCCAATACATTCCATTCATTAATTAAAATGAAGTTCAAATATGCCTTCTTTACAAATTCATTGCCACTATCATTACCAGTAATTAAAACATCACTTCTTTTGAATTACTGTTATCAACTCTAGTCAAATTAAAACACTGAAACAGGCTCTTTTCTAAAATGGGAGGAAGGGAACTAACATAAATTAGTCTGCCAAACTGTTACACCCACCTGCATGGACCAATACTGATGCCTCTGTTTTACAAGTGGAGAAACTTGATGCTCAAAGATATTAAGATCAGGCAGCTAGTGAACAGGAGAACCATGATTTCAACCCAGGTCTATTTTAATTACAACAGCCTTCTCTTTAATTTATACCAACATATCCCTAAGACATCTCTCCTTCCTCTCCTCCAATCCATGAGTCACAGTACTATGAGACTTACCTACCTAAAAAATAAGATACAATCATGTTATTCCTCTACTTTCCCTTACTCTTCATATTGAAGTATAGGGATGAATTGATGCTCATATGGAACTGCTCTCTTAAAAAATACATCAACATAGAAAAAACAGGGGAATAGATGAAACAAACGTGGCAAAATTTGACCACTGTTGAAAGTGGGAATTCCTTCTGTTATTCTTTACTTTTATGTATGGTTTACATTTTTTATACTAACATTTTTAAATCTGCTTCCCAATATCAAGAGGATAAATTACAAACATTAGAGCTTTATTCACAACCTGAAACCAACTGACCTCTATACCCATAACCTGCAGCCACTGAACTATATGCTCCACTACACAAACTCTTATGATTCCATTCATTTGCTCAATGGATAATGTGATATCCCACTTTTTCTGAATGGCATATTTTTAAGACTAAAGATAAAAATCACCTTTTTTGTGAACTCCTCTAGACACATATTTCAATCATTCCACTTATCTGATTTACTTTTATCATCTTACATAAATATCTGTAGTCCCAAGAGACTATGAGAACATAAATGAAAAAGAACATGTCTATACCTTTTTATATCCCCAACATTTAACACAATATCTAGTATTCAAAATGAATTCAATAAATGTTCAATAATAAACTGAAAGATAAGAAAATTCAATATATATTTGTTGACTTCATTTTAAAGGTAAAAATGTTTACTATATATTTGTAGACTCACTAATCAAGAGTTTTGCTCATCATTGATGGAAGAGAAACTAATTTTTTAGGTACTCAACATATAAGAGCCACAATTTCATTAATAAAACGGGAAAAAAAACATCTTGCATTCCTAACTCATGAAACCATCTTAAGAATTATAGAATATATATATTTTAAAAGTTACAAACCAAACACCAAGACTTAAAGATGGCGGCATGAGTAATGAGACAGAAACCTCCTACCAAAACCACATATAATAAGAAAATACAGCAAATACAACTAATTTTGAAAGAGCAACTGGAAAGAAGACTGCAACAGATTACCAACATCTGGAAAAAAGAGAAGATGCACGGAAAAGGGTAAAGTAGCAAAGCTGCGATCCTATCTAAAGCAATCTACAGATTCAATGCAAGCCCTATCAAAATACCAACAGCATTCTTCAATGAACTAGAACAAACAGTTCTAAAATTCATATGGAACCACAAAACACCCCGAATATCCAAAGCAATCTTGAGAAGGAAGAATAAAGCTGGGGGGATTACACTCCCCAATTCTAAGATCTACTACAAAGCCACAGTAATCAAGAAAATTTGGTACTGACACAAAAACAGAAACATAGATTAATGGAACACAGTAGAGTCCAAATATAAACCCAAACATATATGGCCAAATAATATATGATAAAGGAGTCACGGATATACAATGGGGAAATGACAGCCTCTTCAACAATTGGTGTTGGCAAAACTGGACAGCTACATGCAAGAGAAGGAAACTGGGTTACTGTCTAATTCCATACAAAAAAGTAAACTCGAAATGGATAAAGACCAGAATGTAAGTCATGAAACCATAAAACACTTAGAAGAAAAAGGCAAAAATTTCTTGAATATAAACATGAGCAACTTTTTCCTGAATGTATTTTCTCGGGCAACAGAATCGAAAGCAAAAATGAACAAATGGGCCTACATCAAACTAAAAAGCTTCTGTACAGCAAAGGACACCATCAGCAGAACAAAAAGAAATCCTACAGTATAGGATAATATATTCGTAAATCAGATATCTGATAAAGGGTTAACATCCAAAATATATAAAGAACTCACACACCTCAACACCCAAAAAACAAATAACCCACTTGAAAAATGAGCAGAGGATCTCAACAGACACTTCAAAGAAGAAATTCAGATGGCCAACAGGCACATGAAAAGATGCTCCACAATGTTAATCATCAGAGAAATTAAAATTTAAACCACAATGAGATGCCACCTCACACCACTTAGGATGGTCAACAACCAAAAGACAAGGAACAACAAATGCTGGCGAAGATGCTGAGAAAAGGAAACCCTCCTACACTGCTGGTGGGAATGTAAATTAGTACAGCAATTGTGGAAAGCAGTATGAAGGTTCCTTAAAAAACTAAAAATAGAAATACCATCTGACCCAGGAATTCCACTCCTAGGAATTTACCCAAAGAAAACAAGATCCCTGATGTGAAAAGACATATGCACCCCTATGTTTATTGCAGCACTGTTTACAATAGCCAAGATATGGAAGCAACCTAAGTGTCCATCAGAAGATGAAGGGATAAAGAAGATGTGGTATATATACACAATGGAATGTTATTCAGCCATAAGAAGGAAACAAATCCTACCATTTGCAACAACATGGATGGAGCTAGAGGGTATTATGCTTAGTGAAATAAGCCAGGCAGAGAAAGACAAATAACAAATGATTTCAGTCATTTGTAGAGTTTAACAATAACTGAAGGAACAAAACAGCAGCAGACTCACTGACTCCAAGAAGGGACTAGTGGTTACCAAAGGGGACAGGAGGGAGAAGGGGATTAAGGGACATTATTATTGGCATACATGGTGTGGGGGTGTCACAAGGAAGACACTGAAGCACAGAGAAGACAAGTAGTCACACTATGGCATCTCACTACACTGATGGACAGTGACTGCAGTGGGGTGGGGGATGGGACTAGATAATATGGGTGAACGTAGTAACCACAATGTTGCTCATGTGTTGAAACCTTCGTAAGATTGGATATCAATGAAACCTTAATAAATAAAGATATGTATATATAGAAGTTACAAATCAATATACAAAACTTAACTTATATCAACCTCTCCTGCACCACAATCATAAACACTAGGAAAGAGGAGCCTGAGAACTTGACTGTATCCCATTTTTATAAGTATCAATTGCTCCTTTGGAAAAAGATGATTCCTCAAATTAGAAAAGAAATGAACTACATCCAACTTGCCAATGAAGGATTTATCCTTTTTTTGTGTTTGTTTTTTGCAGGGGAGAAGAATACACATAGTTTTGGTTAAATTTTTTTAATTAAAAGAAGAAAAAGTGGTAAGACCACTATCATTAAAGTAAAATAAAAAGAAAAAATACAGATCTCATTCATTTATATGTAAAAATCATACACAAAACCAGCAAACAGAGCACAACACCCAATTTATACAAATGTGTATAGGTATTGTATGCGTTTGTATGTATGTATGTATAGTGTGTGTCCTTGTTGACCAAGTAGGATTTTTCTACCCCAGGAATGCAAAATTATCAAATATTAGGAAAATAATGCTAATATCAATACATCTCAGAATGACTATCATGGTAACCTCCACAGATGCCAAAAAGACCTTTGATAAAATGTTAACAGCATTTTCGTACTGACAATAACACTCAAGGAAATTTAAAATTGATATTTAATTCATTAACATGATAAAATGTCCTAAAGCCAGTATTTTACTTATTGGAGAAAAGTAAAGACATTCATCTGAAACACTATCATACTATAGGCGGTATAGAATCAGATAGTAAGATTAATTAGATACATTATAAAATCATTAGTATTTTGTAGATATGATAATATACCTAGAAAGATAAGAGAAGGAATAATAAAACTAGTATAAAAATTAAAATAATTTACAGATACAAAACATACAAATCAATAACCTCCACATATACAAGCAATATGCAATCAGAAAATATAATGCAAGAAAAATTACATTTTTACTCCTAAAAAAATTAAAATAAGAAAACACTCAGCCAGAAATACAAAAAGCTTCAAAACATTTCTAAAAAGCACAAAGGTGCTAATTATCCCCAAAGTATACACTTAACAGTAGTCCAATAAAATCAAGCCATGAAAAACATGGAGAAACCTTCAAAACATATTGCTAAGGCAAAGAATCCAACCTGTAAAGACTATGTACTAAATGATTCCAACTATATGACATTCTGGAAAAGAGAAAACTATGCAGACAGTAAAAAGACCAATGGCTGTCAAAGGTTAATGGGTCTGAAGGGATGAGAAAATGGAGCACAGAGATTTTTAGGGCAATGAAAGTATTCTGTATGGTACCGTAATGGTAAATATCTATCTATATAATATACATTTGTCAAAGTCCACAGAACGTATGACACAAATACAACACTATTAATAGATAATATTAATAGTGACAACTAGGGGGTAAGGGTGAAAAGGTATATGGGAACTCTGTACTTTCTACTCATTCTTGTTGTAAACCTAAAACTGGTCTAAAATTAAAATATATCAATTAAAATAAAAGATATAAAAAAACATTGCTGGCACAACTAGAGGACTCTGATCACAGACTGCATAATAAGAAATAGTATGGTAACAAAATTACATCTCTTGAGTATAATAATAGTGTTATGTAGGAAAATGTGGTTACTTTAGGAATCACAGTAATTGGTGGGTCAAGTTATATGCCCAAGCTACTCAAAAACCATTTTTAAAAATATATGTGTAATATAGAGATAAAGCAAATGCAGCAAATTGTTTACAGTTAATATATCTAAATTAAAAGCATATAAATGTTACAGTATTCTTAGAACTTTTCTCAGGTTTGAACTTTTATAAAAGAAAAACAAACTGAGAAGAAAAAAAATTTAATGCAGACACTAATGTCACTCCTCTCATAAAAGAGCAAATGAACAATCTGTGGTTTAGGAAGGTGTAATGATGAGAGTATAAACATGCTCCAAAGCCTGCTACTGTTACTTACCCAAGTACAGTGCCTGTTTCTTGGTAATTCACTTGAATAAACTTGCCAAAACGACTTGAATTATTATTATGAGCTGTCTTTGCATTTCCAAATGCCTGTTAAAATAAATAGTTCTCATTAATTTCATTTTTAAAAATGGTAAATTCTGTTTAGGTCAGTTCAAAAAGACAAAAAAAAGTTAGAGAGACAGTAGAAAAGCAATTCACGTACACCTTCAGATTCACATAGTTCAGATAAAGTAAATGAAAGCAATTTAAAATTGAAATAAAACCAAATAGGTAGTATTTTATGCTGCTCAGTGAAATAAATCTTAATTTCAAAAACGTAATGCTCATTAAAATTAGATTTCCCTTTCACATTCCAGAGCTAGCAAATTCTCTTAATATAATTATACTATTAATATATTAATTCTGTTTCTTAATCTTGTTGAACTGAAATAACAAGAGGAGAGGGAAATAATAAAATCAAAACAATTATAAATTTGGAATTATATAAATGAAGTTTCATTACATAATAAACTACACTTCATTACATCTACTTAAAACAAAGCTACAATACTATTTTTAAAATAAAACATATGTTTCCTAAATTGTTACTTAAATCATATACAATGGAATATGACCCAGCAATAAAGATGAACCAATGGTTACAGACATTAACACCAATGAATACCAAACATATCAACTGAAGAAACTAGACACAAGAGTACCTAGAAAAGGTGAAACAAGAATAACAGGAAGAAGATCACAAGTTTTCTGGGAATGGGGGTAGAGTTGAAAAACATCTACAAAGGGACGCATTCCGTTTGAAATGAAAATATTCTATAGCTTGATTGTATGATGGTGGTTATATGGGTTTAAAATTTAAATTTAAATGAAAGAATCCATTGCTGAACTCACATGCTCAACAACTTGAATAAGTCTACAAAACATAATTCTGAATGAGAAAAGCCAGTCTCAAAACTTTACGTACCATATAATTGCATTTATATGACATCTTGAAGAACAAAAACAACAATGGAGAAGAGACAAGGAATTCCCAAGAGTTATAGGAGTATGGGAAGTCAGAGGATATGAAGATGAGTAATAGCATGAGATACTCTGATGGGGGAGGGCAACTATTCTGTACCCAGATTGTATATAGTTATACATACTAATATATTTTCAAATTCATAGATCATTACTGAAAGTAACCTCTTTTAATTTTAGTATCTTCTAGAAAAACTAAGTCATTCAAAAATGAAGACCAAAAGAGGAACAATTTCAGGAATACAAATCTGAAAAATATTCATCATAAGCCAGCCCACACTAAAAGAAACACAAAGGAACTCCTTCATGAAGAAGAAAAATATTTCAAATATGGCCCAACACAGGGAATGAAGAACTGCAGAAATGGTAACCCAATGAATAAATATATAAAGTACTTTTTATAACTTCAATCTCTTGAAAAGATCATTGAAAGTGAGGCCAGAAAAAAGCTCAGTGTGAATGAAGTAAAGAAAAGCTCTTTGAAAATCTTATCCTCTTCATAAAAAAAATGCAAATAACAAAAATTGTCAAATCAGCTATTTGGTGTCTCTGGAAAATAACCAAAAGCTTGAATAATACTTTGTATGGGAATATTTAATAATCAAGGAAAATAGCTGAATCTCAGAAAGAAAAGTATTGTGTCAATTAAATTTACCAATTACCATCTCCCTCTCCTTACCTCAACTCTTAAGAGAAAACTCTACAATTATTTCTTTTTAAACAGCAGCCCAGAAGCCATTAGAAGGATCAGAACAAGGTTAGAGTCAAAGCTCTCTCCCATAGATAACTGTCACAATTTGACCTATTTCCCTAAAAAGTGTTACTCAAAAGGACTAAATTTACTTGACCAAACTTGGGAGATGCACTCACTGAGAAAAGACTTTTCCCTCATGTCTATTAAAAATAATCAGAGGCACAGATTAAAAATGGTGGTGTGAGAGGTGAGACAGAGGCCTCCTCCAAAAACCACATATAATACAAAAATATAATTAATACAACTAATCCTGAAAGAGCAACAGGAAAGAAGGCTACACCAGACTTCATAAATTTGCATGAAGAACAGACCTCACAGAACAAACCTCAGAAATCTACCGAAGCCATGTCATGGTGGGACCCATTCCCTCACCAAAACTCACCAGTGGGAGGAAGAGAAACCAAGCAGGGAAGGAGTAGACGCCTGGGACTGCTGAACACCTAACCCTGGAGATCTGCTCTGGGAGCACAAACCTACATTGCGTGGTGCTCTGCTGATTAGTGGGGTTGGAAAGCTAAGACAGCTAGAATACCTAGAGTGCCTGAGATTCCAACCGCTTGTGTAAAACAGAAATCCACACCCGTCTGCTCTGGGACAAAAGAAAGACAGGAAGTCCAGGAGACTTTCTACAAACGAGAGGGCTGCTAAAGGGCAAGGACTCCATGGAGCTTACAGCTCAGGAGAAAGGACAGGTAGCCAAAATTGTCTGTGCTCACTCTGCCAAGCAGGTTGGGAACTTTCAAGAGCTTCAAGTACAACATCCCAATGGCAGGCTACGCAGTTTCAAGGCTCCCCACCGTGATACGCAGCCTGCTGCACCTTCCTCCTGAACAGCTCATACCTGGCTCGCAAACCGGCAGCCACTGGCTTCGCATCAGGCCAGCCAAAGGGAAGCCAACCTATGGCAGCTACAAACACAAAACACAGAGGCTTAAACCAGTGTGTTCCGCCCACTGACTATGGCAGTGGAGACAGGCAGTGCATCCAGGAAGCAGGAAACAGCTCTTTCCTCCCCCTAGACACAAACATAACTTCCCTGCCAACCCCAGCATTGCTCCAAGGGTGGAGAAGCTCCAAAGAGTAGAGCTTCTGGGCACTAGAGAGTGCCACACACAAATATGAAACTGTAAGATAAATTCTAGAATGTAAGATAAATTATAACCGAAATAAGCAGGCGACGAGAGGCAACAAAGGGCCAGGCAGTGTATTTGAGCACAATTCCCAGGTGATGTTCCCCAGTCTGGGTATTATAGGCCAGGGAAGTCACACCCAGTCAGGGAGGTGGGGGCTTATAAGAGGTTAGGAGGGGGAGGAGTGGGCAAGCTATCCTAGGGGGCATGGAGAGGTACGATTGGCTAAAGGTGACATAATAGACAACTAGAAACTTTTTTTCTTTCCAAGAGGGAGGAGGCTGACATCAGGTCTTAGTTGGCACATCAGAAGGATGGAATTCAGGAAGAGCTGTCCCCTTTCCATATAAGGCAAGGACCTTGGGGTCTGGTCTGTTCTCCTTTTATGGTATCTCTCTGTTCTGTTTGCATATCCTTGCTTTTCCTCCCTCCAGCCTAACAGAAACGTCAAAGGAACCTGGATCAAACAAAATACCACAAACACCAAAAAAAGGATCAAGTGAAACTGAACTCATCACTCTTCCTGAAAAAGATTTCAAAATAAAAATCATAAACATGCTCCAGGAGGTAAACAAAATATTCAAGAACTCAGGAATGAATTCAGGACACAAATCCAATCATTAAGAAATAAAATAGAGGGATTTAAAAGCAGCTTAAACACAGTGGAGGAGACCATAAATGAAACAGAAATTAGAGAAGAGGAATACAAAGGAGCTGACACACAGAGAAAAAAGGATCTCTAGGAATGAAAAAATAGAGAGAACTGTGTGACCAATCCAAATGGAACAATATTCACATCATAGAGGTACCAGAAGAAGAAGAGAGAGAAGAGAAAGTGTCCTTGAGGAGGTAATTGCTGAAACCTTCCCCAATCTGGGGAAGAAAATAGTCTCTCAGGCCATGGAGGTGCACAGATCTCCCAACACAAGGGACCCAAGGATGGCAAAGAACAAGTATAAGGACAGACTAGTAAAAACAGCCAAAGAGAGAAATAAGATCACATACAAGGGAAAACCCATCAGGCTATCATCAGACATCTCAGTAGAAACCTCAGAGGCCAGAAGGGAGGTGGAATGATATATTTAATACAATGATGCAGAAGGACATTGAACCAAGAATACTCTCCATGGCAAGATTATCATTCAAATTTGAAGGAAGGATTAAACAATTTCCAGATAAGCAAACGTTGAGAGAATTTACCTCCCACAAACTGCCTCTACAGAGTATTTTGGAGGGACTCCTATAGACAGAAATATTTCCAAGGCTAAACACCTGTCACCAGAGGTACTAAAACAACAGTAAAGAAAACAGAACTGACTCCTAAGCAAATGAAAAATTAAATCAACTACCCCCAAAGTCACTCAAGGGACGGACAAAGAGTACAGAATATGATAGCTAATACATAAAGAATGGAGGAGGAAGAAAGAAGGAGAAAAAAAAGAAACCTTTACATTGTGTTTTTAATAGAATACTACGTGAGTTAAATTAGACTGCTGGATAGTGAGGGAATTATCCTTGAACCTTTGGTAGCCACAAATCTAAAGCCTGCAATGGCAATAAGTACATACCTATCGATAATCACCCTATATGTAAAGGGACTGAATGTACCAATCAATAGACACAGAGTCAATGAATGGATAAAAAAAACAAGACCTGTCAACATGCTGCCTACAAGAGATTCACTTCAAACCTAAAGACACACACAGACAAAAAGTGAAGGGATGGAGAAAGATATTTCATGCAACTAATAGTGAGTAAAAAGCAGGATATGCAGTACTTTTACCAGACAAAATAGACTTCAAAACAAAGAAAGTAACATGAGACAAAGAAGGACATTACATAATGATACAGGGGTCAATCCAACAAGAGGATATAACCATTCTGAATATCTATGCACCCAACACAGCAAGACCTACATATGTGAAACAAATACTAACTGAATTAAAAGGGGAAATAGAATGCAATGCATTCATGTACCAGAAAGAAAATAAGTAAGGAGACAGAGACATTGAACACATTACAACAGATGGACCTAACAGACATCTACAGAACACTGCACCCAAAAGCAGCAGGACACACTTCTTCGCAGGTGCACATGGAACATTTTCAGGAATATATCATATACTAGGCCAGAGAAAGAGCCTCAGAAAATTAAGAAAGATTTAAATTTTACCAACCAGCTT